ATTTTTCAACTAGCTGGTCAAATTAAGTGCCTATCTCTCCATAGTGAAGTCAATATTTAACTTGTATATCTATGTAGTGCAATTCGCTTGACTGTACTGAAGTCAAGAGACCTGGATTTTGTTCTGCCTAGAAGGTTGTCAGGTTTCTTATCTGTAAAATGAGTGTGTTGATGACCGCTCAGCTCTTATGTTTTCTTTTTAAACCTCTGTATGAAAGTTCCACAAACAGAAAACCACCTAACAGCTCTCAACATCTATAAGCAAGAGAATGGCCAAAATACTATAAATACAGGTTTATACCAGATTTATTTCATAGGTGAGTTGATTCAGTAGATTTAATGTAAAAGCCTGTATAAAATTATGTATGGTATGGCTATTGAGTAGATATACAACAGATTAAATTTTTTAAAAAGTAGAAAGCTAAATAAAATGAAATTTAGTTTAATTATTTCTAACTCTTATAAAACTTTCTGGTATTTAAACACAAGAACTGAACAGCAGAGCAGATAAAATGATTCTCCTTTAAGTTGAACTCAGAGCAAGGAGAATATATTGCCCATCATTGTATTCTGTAATGCCTTTCCAGGAGTAAACGTATGCACTATAAATTACCAAACGGGAAATGTGCTGATTTTCTCTAGGCACAATCTAGCATAAAGATAACACTCATTAAATGTTGAATAATAATGAAGCTCTTTTGAGTGGTTTTATTTTAAGAAGCTCCAATGCCTAATATGAACCCAAATATATGTGCTATTGATCTAGAGTACAAAGGAATTTCTCTTATTACCCAAAACAATTGTTGGTTATTCCAAAATCCTGAATAAAGCATTCCTGGCTACTCATTGTGTTTCATTAAAGCACAGAGACACATTCATGCACATATTCATACAGGAATTGCTCTTCCAGTTTGTGCTCTGTAAAAGCTGCATTTTTCCTATTTCATTCATGATTCATTTTCCTCCAGATTCTCTCTCTGCTTTTTCGGGTCACATATTTATTTCATACCTTTCCCTAGCATGTCAACATAAAATCCATGGATAACAATGCTTGTGACTTTTTTTTTTTCCTTTGATGCAAGAGTTTATTTTTAAATATTTAAAAAATTGCCCTTGATCTCCTATATTTTAAATTGCTTAGTGCTCTAACAATTCTTGACTACTGAATTGTGTTCCCAAATACCAAAATTCTTAAATTCTCCTTTAAACTGTGGGATTTCTCTCCACATTAAAGAGAGGCAGAAGTTAGAAGAGTGTATATGTACCCCTTCTTCAAAGTTCCTGAAACATGTGAATGCTAATTGCTAAAAAAAAAAACAAAAAAAAACAAAAAACAAAACCCCAGCAATTTCACTGAAAGAGGTTTTCAGTTTGTTTTGCTTTTTCCAGTGTGGTAGAGTGAAGTGTTAACACTATTATGAATACAAAGAGATTGAATATTTGCATTAAATTTATGCAGAACATGTTCTGCAGGTGTCTGGGGAACCTAGAAGACAACACTTAGGAAGAGAAACCAGAGAGGCCTGTAAACTCTGAAGGAAAGGGGAACCTAAGAAATTTTACTTTCATATTTAGAAGTAAAATGAGTGTGGTGATAGGATCAAATAGGCCCAAGGGCCTCATTTCCTAGGGATTGGAGTAGGTCCAATTTGGGACAATATTCACACAACAGGATAATGCAAAACTCTCCAGCACACTGCAGATCATTGACCCTGTAGGGAGACCATTTCTCTAAGGCTGGTGTAGCAAATTCATATGCTGTCCTTCTGCAAGACGCTTACAGATAGGCAATAACAGTCTTCTCCCAGGTGCTATGTAAGCACCTAATCCAAGTGAAATGGGGCATCCATTTCACTCCCTGAAAGACACTGCTCTTTTATGCCACGGGCACCTAGACCTAGAGATTTAAATGTATTGATTTTAATTTCATCTAGTTTTCTTGAGCAGTGAAACCTAAGTATGCATTTGTTGTTATTGTTAAGTGCCGTGGGGTTGGTTCCAACTCATAGCAACCCTGTACAAGGTTTCTGAGGCTGTAAATCTTTATGGGAGCAGAAAGCCTTATCTTTCTCCCGTAGAACAGTTGGTAGTTTCGAACTACTGACCTTGCTTACATTTTCTTTGGCGTTCTTCTGTTCTTGATATACTTCTTATGAAAGGATGTGTTGTAGTTAATCATTTAATATGTCTCGTCTAGCCTTAGACTTTGTAGCTCCCACCACATGGCAATTTATCACTATTGGTTCTAAGCAAAGGCAGGAGAACATACTGATAGCATTACATGATTCAGCTGGGGTGTTAACAGATTGATTGTAATTGATTACAATTGATTGTAATTGTAAAAACTTGAAATTCTTACATGGGTATAAAATGAACCCTCTCAGAAGTAGGTGGGGATCTCAGTACCATGAAAGAGGAAGATCCAGGAGTAGAGCGTGTCCTTGAGACCCAAGATCTCTGTGCATTGAACTTCCTCAACTTAGGGACAGAAAGCTCTGAAACCCCAGAAGTGGTAGAGGAGTAGCAGGAACAGCAACAGAAGCACGAACCAGAGCACGTTCTCCCAGAGTCAGAGCTTGTTATTAATAGAATGTGAACTCTCAGTCTGAAGAAGTTCAAGTACTGCTCTCTTTGTTTTGATGAGTGTCTACATTAGCTACGAGCTCCACCTTTATGTAAGGAATCACTATGTGGGCCAAGTGTTCCTCTCTCTAGATAGCTTATAAGCATCTGGGCAAATTTACATTTGAAATTCAATTAACTTTAGGTTAAAAGGTCAATTAACTTGGCCATGCTAGAGATTGTTTTTAATTACTTTTCCTTGTAGGACTTCTTTTCTTGTCCAAGCACAAATGATATTATCAAATAAAAATCACATTGCCTCTTGGTTTCCTGAAACTGATATTCAAAACAAGCTAGACATGATTGTTTTGGTTAAATGAATTAGTAGGATACTTTTGGCAATTTATCACTATTAATCCTTTGGACCTAAAACATCAGTAATCCATTAATGGAATATTTTAACTTAAATACTCTATATTATTCATGACACTATCCTTCATTATTTTGTTCTTTTTGGTTTTTTATATTCTGGGTGAAAAGTGATGATAGTAAAGTAAAATGACTTTAAAGATTACATTATATCAGCATACATTTTAAAAAATGGAAAATAAATAACATTAAAAACTGGCATTCACATTCCAATAGAAATCTTATAGTTACTATAGTGTTAATGTGGGTCAAAACTCAACTCACATACATGGCAATAGAACACATATACTTAATAAACTCAAGTAATTAATACTTAGCATATATTTACATATAATGTATAGGTACATATTAAATCATTCAGCCAAAAACACATAAACAATATGTTAATGTATAATAACAATGTTACTATTATTAACCATATATTGTTATTACTGTTAAAAGCTTTAAAGTTCATTTCTGACTCATAGCAAACTTGTATATTGTTTCCGAGGAGCAGCTGGTGAGTGAACCACCAACCTTGTTGTCCAAACCAACCTTGTAGTACAGTACTTGTCCTAAAGTGTCACACCAGGATATATACTAATGCACCTTATCTATTAATGTTGTTGTTGTTAAGCGCTGTTGAATCAGTTCCAACTCATAGTGAACTTGTCTGTACAGGATTTCCAAGGAGCAGCTGACAGATTTGAATTGCCAACCTTGTGGTTCACAGTCCAGTTCTAATCCTACAGCATCACATCAGGAGTCCCATATTACCATATTAACTGAAACCTCCAGATGATTAGCAGTTTAAAAGTAAAGCATATTATTCAGGAGTATTATATGGAGCCAACTCTCAACATGTGATTTTTTTTATTGTTTTATTTCAGAAGGGACCAACCTTCACCTGATAGGAACAGTTAATGTTACGCTAAGTATTGATTTCTGGTGTGGCACTGGAGGATAAGGTGGATTTGAACTGCAAGGTCAGAAGTTCAGACTCTACAGCTGCTCCTTGGAAACCCTATACAGGGTCACTATGAGTGTGAATCAACTCGTTGGCACTTAACAACAAGTGCCTTATAAATATTACTTATGTAAGTCTTAACTACATGCCTTTGAGATAGAACTCACTGTTCCCATTTTACTAAAGAGCAAAGTGAAGCTTACACTTCAGTAAATGTGGTGTTTGTTAAGTGCTATTGAGCCACTTGCAACTCATAGCAACCCTGTATATGGTTTCCAAGGAGTATCTGGTAGGCTTGAACTACCAACCTGGTGGTTACGAGTCCAGTGCTTATCCTACAGTGCCAAACCAGAACACAGTGTATAAATGGCAGAATCAGAGACTATACCTTTGTCAGTTTCCTTTCCCTAATTTTTATTCTCCCCTAGAAGAAAAATGCTGGCTTTAAGAGCAGGAACATCAAGAAATACATATAAAATAGGTTTGGTCATGTTTTGAATGTTTATGAGACAGATTTAGAACTGAATCATAGGAGAAAGTGTTTTAAATTGGTACAAGTTAGAGTGGGTCCTCAAGAATGTAATCAATTATGTCAGTAAACATTATTTTTTCCCCATAGTGAGATTTTATAAGTGAAGGCTATAGACATGCTCTGAATTACATTATGGTGCCTGCTTTTTCTCTCCTTATCAACCATGAATAGTTTGTGGGCAGCTGGAATGCTGCGACTCACACTTGGGGTAGCACTGGGTTAGGCAGCTTCTTGTATAGTTTTACTTTATGGTGAAATCAAATTATATTGGGTAAAAGTTATCCTTTTATACATGTTTCTTCATTTATATATAAAAAAGAACAAGAAATGAACATGACAGCAGTGAAGGCTGATGACTTTAGGAATCTATGGTGACATTAATCTTTGTTGAAGTGATATTGTTCTGATTAGTTTTGATAAGCTAGTCTGATAAGTAAAAGGAAACAGCTTCCTATAGGTTTAATAATGTTGCCATCAAACAGGACTATTTTGAGTGAAATTAAAATTAAAAAAAAAAAAATGTTATTCATACCTGCACCTCCACCTATGCTGAGAATTTTAATTCCTGATTTTGTGTCTCCAATCCTGGGGAAGAAAAAAAAACGACATAGTTTGGGAAAACTGTGCTAATTGTTCTTTAAAATCAGATTATTAAGTCTAGTTAGAGACTTAAACTGGAGAACAAACTGGAAGTATACTAATGAAAAACTAGACCAATGAGAAAATTCCCAGTCATTCCAGTAACTATATTACACTTTAAAGCACATTTAGAAACATCTGTTCTATTCTACTCATTAAAAATATTTGAACTAGGAAGCTTTTAGATGCATCACTAATAAACATCTTTTTGTTAAATGCCATCAAGTCAGTTCCAACTCATGGTGATCCAGTATAGGGTTTCTGAGGAGCTGCTGGTGAATCTGAACTGCCAACCTTGTATTAAAACAGACTTTGTGGTCCAATGCATTATCCGACAGTGTCACTCCAGGATTCCATCTTAGTGTTAAGAAAAACCATTGGTTTAGTGATTGTTGGAGAACTAAACAGAAAAAGTGGACATTTGAGTCCCTTGACATAGTCATTCATTTTAACTGGTGAAGAAGATAAGGTAATTCATATCATCTCTAGGAATTCTTTCTTTCCATCCTTTTTCACACCTTAATTGCAATGAAAAATATATTTATTAAACATTTATTATGTGTAATAAATGTGCCTATTCTGGCATTGTTTATATGTTCCATTTCATTTTTGAGGACTTCAATTCCATCTTTGATGACTTCCAGTTTTTCTAGATTTATATTTTATACATCACACATTAAGATTATTAATGGATGCTTACAGTTGTTTCTTTGCATTTTGAGTTGTAGCACAGCAGCAAATAACAGTCCTGAAAGCTTGTTCCATTCATGTCATGGAGCTCAGTTCTACTTGGAGAAGGCAGCTCTTTCTCAGTCATATTTTGAGTACATTCCAACTTAAGGGGCTCATTTTCCAGCACTATAGCTGACAATGTTCCACTGCTGTTCATAAGATTTTCAGTTGGTTAAGATTCTGAAGTAACCCACCATTCTTTCTTCCCTTCTGTTTTAGTGTGAAAGCCACACTGAAACTTGTCCACCATGGATATCCCTCCAGGTATTTAAGTAACTGTGGCATAGCTTCTAGCATCACAACACACAGCCACTACAGTATGACAAACTGACAAACTAGAGAGGGATAATCAATTCTAGGATAGGCACATTCCAGTTGCAGTTATATATATTGAATATTTAATAAGCAAATATTGGGAAGCACTCAAAATACAATGGGGGAAGAGCTACGTCCTTAAAGTAGTAATAATGTTGTTGCTGTTAGGTGCTCTCAAGTTGGTACCGACTCATAGTGACCCTATGAACAACAGAACAAAACCCTGCTTGGTCCTGGGCCAACCTCACAATTGTTGCCAATGCTTGAGCCCATTGATGCTGCCACTTGCCAATCCATCTCATTAGAGGTCTTCCTCTTTTTCTCTGACCCTCTCTCCACCTTTCCAAACATGATATCCTTCTCCAGTGACTGATCTCCCCTGACAGTGTGTCCAAAGTATGAGAGACGAAGTTTGGCCATCCTGGCCTCCAAGGGAGCACTCTGGCTGCACTTCTTCCAACACAGATCTGTTGGTTCTTTTGACAGCCCATGGCAATTTCAATATTGTCTTCCAACACCATAACTCAAAAGCATCAATTCTTCTACAGTCTTCCTTATTCACTGTCCAGCTTTCTCATGTATATTAGGGTATTTAAAATATAATGGCTTGGCTTAGGTGCACCTTAGTCCTCAGACTGACATCTTTGCTCTTCAACACTTTAAAAAGGCCTTGTGCAGCAGATTTGCCTAGTGCACTACACCATTTGATTTCTTGACTGCTGCTTCTATGAGTGTTGATACTTAATCCAAGAAGAATGAAGTCCTTGACAACTTTAATCTTTTCCCCATTGATAAGAATGTTGTTTATTGGTCCAGTGTTGAGAATTTTTGTTTTCTTTACACTGAGATGCAATCCTTAATGATAGGCATGAAACAAAGATTTCAAGACCTTCATATTCTAACAGGACACAAATCAAAATGGGAAGAAATAGCTGCAAACATCTCTTTATAATTGAAACATAGAATATACAAACTATGACTCCAGGAAAACTGGTAGTTGTCAAAAATGAAATAGAGCACATAAAGAGTGACAGCTTAGCTCATTAATGAGCTGAAATGGACTGCTCTTGGCCGTTTTGAACCAGACAGCCATATCATTCACTACGACAGGTACAACAAACTGTTGAGGAATGACATCACATTCATTATCAAAAAGAGTATTTCAATATCTATCTTAAAGTACATTCCTGTCAGTGATAGGATTATATCCATACATCTACAAGTTAGACCAATTAATACCACTACTACCCAAATTTATGCACCAACCACTAAAGCAAGTGATGATGAAACTAAAGAATTCTGTGTGGCTCTGTAGGTTAATGCAGTGGACTGCAAAGTCAGTTTGAACTGCAATGTCAGTGATTCAAGCTCACCAGTCAATTTCTCAGAAATCCTATTCAGGGTGTTAATGGGTCGGAACTGACTCGATGGCACTTAACAACAACAACCAGCTTTTTTAGTCTGAAATTAGTCTAACATGCAGTCAAGATCATTGATAATTAATGGTGATTGCAATGCAAAAATGGAAACAAAAGAAGGAATGAGTTGGAAAATACTGCCTTGGGATAGAAATGATGTTGGAACGCACATGATTGAATTTTGTAAGACCAATGAGTTAATTATAAGTTCACTGGGCCTCACTAAATGGACTACACATTGGAATCAAATTAACTAAATCTGTTGGAAGAGATGGTAGAAAAGCTCAATATCATCTGTCAAAACAAGGTCAATGGCCGACTATGGAACAGACCATCAAGTTAAGGCTGAAGCTGAAGAACAGTAAAACAACTCCAACAGAGCCAAAATATAAGCCTGAATATATCCCATCTGAGTTTAGAAACAATCTCAAGAACAGATTTGATGCATTACATACACTGATTGAAGATCAGAAGAGTTGTGGGGTGATATCAAGAACGTCGTACATGAGGAAAGCAAAGGGTCATTATGAAGACAGGAAAGAAAGAAAAGACCAAAATAGATGTCAGAAGAGACTCTGAAACTTG